ACTGGGAGCTCATTTTATGCTGATTTTCCACTATGATTCCCAAATCTTGTTCTGAGTCACTGCCTGCCAGGTTAGTGTCTCCCATCCTGTAAGCATAGCCTGCATTCTTTGTTCCTAGAGGTATACATTTAGCCATATTAAAATGCATAGTTTGCTTGCTTGTAAGCATACAAGCATATTGATCTCTGATCTCTGTAACAGCCCTCTAAAGGCAAGACTCACCAGTACTCTTCAGCCATTTTGCACCGCACCAATGATGCAAGGCAGTTATAAGCCAGGCTTAACTGTCCGGTGTGCTCCAGCTGCTTTTCACTACTCTGGTCTATCAGTGAATCTGCCCTTTAAAACTCCAGATGAGGTATTTAAAGTAAACTTCATAACTCCATTAGCATGGTAGCATTCTATTTGAGTCTTAGTGCTTATGTATAACATTTAATAATTTATAAAAGCTAAGAAAATTCCAAGACAAAAGCCTACATTAATACGGAGCGAAGGTTGAAAACTCATGCCAGCAATTTAAGGGTTAAAACACTTTACAGGGATGTCCTGATTATCCCAAAACCAGGCATTACAAATCCAGGAAATTCAGAGTTAAGGTTATATTTGAAAGAAATCTGAATGTGTTAAGGTAAAAAATGTACAGTTAAGGCTCCCAAACAACCTTAACTTTCCTCTGACGTGACAACACGAGTCTTTAAAAAAAAAAAGTTAATCCAGAGGTTTTCAAACTGTGGGATGTACCCCCTGGGTCAGGGAGGCATGGAGAAACATTTGGGTGGCACGGCGGGACAGGGCCAGCCCCCACAGGGGGCAAGGAGGGAGCTCCATTCAGCCCCGCTCTGCCAGCCCTGGGTCCAGGCCCTGCCCCCAGACTCAGGCCCTGGCCTGGCCATGGCTCTGCTCCTGGCTTGGCCGCTGCTCCGCTCCTGGCCATGGCCCCATCCCTGCCCCCCAGCCTTGGCCCCCAGCAGTGGCCCCGCTCCCAGCCCCGGCCATGGCTCCAGGGGGTGGGCAAGGAGAGGGTGGACAGGGGTAAAGGAGGGCATGAGGTAAAAAGTTTGGGGAACACTGACAATCTAATACAAGACCACAAAACACTAACATGCCTTATTATCATTGTATGGTTATTGCACTGTATCTCCTACCAGAAAGAGTTAAGTTTGTTTGGAAGCCTTAACTACACTTAACCCATTTGAATTTCTTCCAAGTGTAACTAATTCTGAATTTCCTGGGTTTGTAATGCTTGGTTTTGGGATAGTCGGGACAGCCATGGAACAATTTTTACCCTTGAATTATTAATATTAACACTCCATCTCATCATGTGTTGTCGTGGAATTCTTCAAGGTCCGTGGAACTAAGTACTTATTCAATGATAATGCACCACAGTCTCTACGAGGTTAAATCTTCTTCACCCCAGGGTTTTTTAGAATATAATAATCAATGATATTCTCCATGATTTCAGTTGATCTGAGATATGTTGCAGTTTTCAGAAAATAATCTTTATTAGAAATATTGCCTGAGGTCAGTGTTCAAGACTTACTGGCTGTTTCACATAGCCATTACCAGTGTGTAAATCTGTATACAGATCAGTCAGCCTTCTTCTCAGCAAAGAAACAAGTCTGTTGGTACCTAACTTCTACCCCTCTAGTGACTTTTGTGCAACCTCTGATGCCACCTGATGAAACACGGGCACACTTTGTGGCTCTAGATATACATCACAAGTATTTTTATAGAACCAGAATGTGGCAGCCCCCTTGTGGGTGCTCAGAAGAAAGGAAGGCACAAGGAACATTCCTCGCTTGCATTTCCTGGGCAGGAGTCATCCACAATTGCAGTCCTCACACTCACTTGAAGAGGCAGCAAGTGTTCAGTCTAACAGTTTTCCCAGAACTGCTTCTGGGACAGGTGCCCTGCACCTTCCCTAATGCAGGCTATACCAATAATCACTAGAACCAGTGGAACCTGAGCTCAGTCATGTAACAGGGCTCTTGGCCACAGTCACTTAATCTGGGGCTGCATTACAAAGGTCCAGGCCACTCACATGACAGAGGTCAGCATCTGTTGACACCAGTGGTTAATGGTACATTAGCCTGTGTCTAGTGGGCATGATTGAATAAATAAATAAATGTTCAAAGAATCCAAACAGCTCTTCACAAACCTGTGCAATGGAGGGCTTCCTTTCCATGTAGCTTTAGGTGCTGTTACAAGCAGTTTAACAAAAAAGGATAAAAAAAAATCTAGGTAAACTGCCCATAGCAACCCCCAGTGCTCCCTGATAAAAACAGAAACATCCCTGCACAAACCATTCTTTGTATTTCGACCTGCTCCCTTAACAAAAAAACCAACAAAACCTGGAAGTGTGCCTTGCAGTGTGGTATGAGAGTTAACAGTCTTGGGCTCTGACCAACCGAGTGGGGTGAGTGAGTTTCAGAGCTGAGGAGCCTCAATGGAGAATGCTCTGCCAGCAGCCTTTTACACCACAGGGTTTTTACTTTGAATTCTGGAATGACTTTACACAGAGAGAGGAACATTCTTACAAGGTTCTGTACCACATAAGACTTGTTAGGTCAAAATAAACCCCTTCAATTCCACCAACCAACAGGCTGCCAATGCAGATCCCAGAGCAGCAGTGACGATAAGCCAACTGCATAGCATGTGGTGTTGGGACAAGAGCTTGACCTTTCATTCCTGACACACAGGCTGCTCCATAGAGAGCTAAAGGGGTAGTTTTACTAGAAGAGAGCATCTAAATGCACCCAGGTATGTGTCATATTGCATCCTGTAGTGGTTCTCTCAGACAAAAGCTAGTACCATATGCAGAGACTTTGCACAGGCCCTGAAAATTCAAAGACCGCTACTAAATATGAACAAAGAAACTAGTTACAGAAGATACTAAAGTGTATTTAATGGGTATTTAAAACTTCAAATGAGTTATCCTGATAAAGGCTCATTGTGTCTGAAACACTGGCTATTCTGATGCTTTCCGTGTAAGCACAATGCCTTAGGTTTGTAAATGTTTTTTAAATTAACAATTAGAGGTACGCAGTACATCTATGTCAGGCGTACAGCTCCCCAAATCCTGCCTTTAGCAAGCTCTGGGTAATGTGTAAATCCTGATGGATCCTTCAGGGGCCATCTCTGCTGTGGCTGTACCAGAGTCCTGGTTTGGAACAAGGAGAGGGTCTACCCAAAATATGAAAGCAGTACAAATATTACACCAGCTAAGAGGTTCTATCACCCTCCTTTTGGACATGGGCATAGGTGGAGGAGAAAAAGGGCATTAGAAAATAATACAATTAAAAATAAACTGTTTACTGGGTGAGAGGGTTGGGGTTTATTCCCTATAAAAGCCAGAAGCCTTTATGACAAGGAAAGCGATGATTCCTTAGTGTCTTCTGTACCTCCATCTCTGAGAAGTGCAGTGATTAAAGCTGACACCTTTCCGGGAGCAACTTTCCTCTGCTGCCAGTTACAGTTTCATGATCTGTGCTCAGACGCTTTTCATTATTGCCCCCAAAGGAGTATTTGTTTCCTTATTTCTATTTTGGTGGCAGTTGGGGACTGCAGGCATCTGAATAGTACGCACCCTCCCTGACCCTGCCTGGCTCCAATTCCAAGGCTCACAACAAGATCATCTCTTCTTTACCTCTCCGAGACTTAGACTCCAAATGTCAACAACTTGCTCCTCCATTCCTGCCCACCTCTTTCCTATACACAATACAGGTGGGGGGGTGGGGGGTTGGTTTTGTTTTTTATAATCTTTCATGCAAACCACATCTCGACATGGCCTCCAAAGTTGAATAATAAAGGGCAGCAGACAACATATAATGGAAATCCCAGAGAGCGTTGGTATAAAGGCCACTGCATGAGAAATACATTTACGCGCTCATTCATAGAAGGCTGGTAACTGAGAGTTAAGAGAGATGCAAGAGAGAAGAGATTTAATTTAAGATGAAAATGGAAGAGAGAGTTAGTGAGGCACAATATGTACAATCTCATCCTCCATTCCACAGAGTGCACAGACCGTGGGCTGCAAAATGACTCACAAACGGGCACATAAGGCCTGGTAATAGAGCTGTGAGAACAACAGATTTTTTTGGTTCCCTGGCAATCCCCCCCAAAGGCTTTTGGGATCGAACCAAAAAAAGATTTAAAAATTTGGTGGATCAGAAGAAATAAATCTGTTTCAGGCTGAATAAAAAGTTTCACTGAGATATTTTCAAAATGAAAATTTGGATTTTCGACCATTTTTTAAAAAAAATAAAATGAAAAGGAATTTTGAAACAACAAGCTGTTTCCAACCGCCCCCTCCCCCCAAAAAATCAAAGCATTTTGTTTAGAAAATGTCAAAGCAAGACAGCAATTTTTCAGATTTTTTTTTAAAAGGGGTTTTCTTCTACTGAACCAATTTCGCAAAACATACATGAATTTGCAAAATATTTTGCTGTCACCCAATCTGCATTTTCCACACACCAAAAAAAGCTTTGGCCAAAATATTTTGCCCAGTTCTACATGGCACGCGGTATAAATAACGCAGACCTGCTGCATGGGAGGAGGGGGACAGGACAACAGTGTAATGAGGTCCACATCCCATGAAGCTATGTTCCCAGAGGCCCTTTCCACACCAGTACAGAGAATGTTTTGGGGGCAAAAATGTGGCTGATCTGTACAAAGTCACTGGCCAAATCCCTCCCTTACGTACAGTAGGGGGCTCAGTGCACCACACAGTCATCTGAGGTCATAACAGACTCCAGGTGTTGCCAATTTCCCTTCTGTCAAACAAGCCCATTCAGGCTTGGCCCGGGGCAGATTTGTTCCTTAATAGCAAGAAAGAAACAGTGATCAAAAGCAGCAGTTTTATCTGTGTGAAGTTTCACACAATTCATCAAAAGGGAAACATTGTCTTTTCTACTTATACACTGTTCAGGACAGGGACTGTCTCCTACTGGGTGTTCACACAGCACCTAACAAGGGGGCCTCTGATTCTGGGTACAGCTTACCTCCCTGGCCAAATGTAGGCCCCTGGCTTAGTTTCCCTCCTTTGCTGGTCCAGGGACTCATTCTGCTGATGATAGGGGTAACTTAATTTAGCCTTCCAACTCAATGAAGGAAGGGATGGACTTGCCCAGAATCCAAACAAAAGTCATCACTCCTCTCCTAAGGGCTTCACAAACCTTCATCCCTTGATTGCAGGGCTGTCCACAGCTGAGACACAGGGGATCCTCTCATATAGGCTATTACAGACACCGCCTTGCCACCCTAATGAAGCAGATATACACTGCAGCTTGCTTCCTATGCTGGCTGGCTTGCCTGCGAAGTCTTCTACTTCAGTCCCACCATAGGTGCATCTTCATCTGAAAGCAACTGAAGGAAAAGCAAAACAACAGCTTCAATTGAGAGCATGGGTCTGTAAGGCAGGAGCACACTAGAATGATCCTGTTCTAGTTCTGGGTATTGCTCAACTCCACTATCTGCCCAGGCTGATAAGAAAAGGAACAAGATGCTTCCTTCTGGCAAGACCAAAGCACTCTGCTCCCAAGCTCTTCCTGAGCCCAGCTGGAACTGCTTCCCTCAATTAGCAAGCACAGCATGTTCCAGGGGGGGTGGGGAAGGCACTCTCCTTGGCTCTCTTTGCTGGGAATTAACCCCTCCACTGCCTAATCCAGAGTGAACTATGTTCACCCCATCACAGGGCCTCTTGGTGCAACTTCAATACAAATCAAAAATACAAACCAACGCTACTAATATTTTGTTGTTGTTTTTTCTGTGGAGAAAAGTTTTTAGCTAAAAAAAGGTTTACCCTTCTGTGTTCTATCCCTCTAGGGTAAGGGTACTTATGTGGCTCCATTTACCACAGCATCGAGGCACCTCCCAATCTTTAATGCATTTCTCCTCACAATGCCCCTATGCAGGAAGGATGTACTACTATGGCCATTCACAGATGGGGAAGTGAGGCAGAGAGAGACTAAAAGACTTATCCAAAGAGTCTGGGGTAGAAGAGGGACTTGAACTGCTGTCTCTTAAGCACCCTTAAGAACCCACTCCAGTGGAACATCCTTCCTATTTGCTTGGTAAATTTTTATTTACAAACATCTATGTAATGCAGTCACCTATCGCTTTACATGTATGGAACCTCCTCTGAGATAGGAACGCTGTTTCACTGTAGCAGCAGCTAATGGGAATGGAAGAATGATGCTACCAGCATGAATCAAGTACCTCCTCCTGGACAGTGAGTGCACCACACTAATGTCAGTTTCAGCCCATGGTAGAGTGTGGATTGAGCAGCCTCCATTATTTGTTTCTGGCAGCACCCACAATGTACTAAGTGTAGGAATGTGGGCCTGGCCTGACATGAATAATTAAACATGGGGGAGGCCTCCTCTCTTGGAAGACAGGAGAAAGGAGGTACATTGATTAGCAGGCTGAAAACAAAATATTTGTGCTACCTAACATAAGTAAATCGGTCAATAAGCTAAGAGACAGAATGTCTGAGCTAGCCAGGATAAGAGGGAGAACTGCCAGGGAACCATTTACAAACAATAAAAATAACAATAAACAAAATAAGTCAGGAATGTAAAGATGAGGTTAAGTTTAGGTTGAGCGCGGTGAGTGCAAAAATGTGTAATGCAATGTATAGTAAATGCACTGAAATGTGAAAGTCTATATGAAGAAAAAGGTGTGCTACATAACTTTGGATGTGTGGTACACCCTATGCCCACCCCATATGCTTGTGTGTGATCAATTCGGTGTAGCTTTGCTGTTATGACAGATAATGAAACCTACGTGATGAGACTGGAGTCAAGCTGAGTTCTTGGGGAACTAAGTGGAAAAATTTCTTGGGGGAATTCCAACACTAAACACTGCACAAGCACTAAAGAAGGCACAATTCCTGCCTCACAGAGCTTACCAACTAAGGCTCTAATCATGGAGACACACATGTGCTTCATTTTGCTTCCCTGGACCAGGAGTAGATGTGTGTATGTTAATCAGTGTTCCCAACTCTTGCAAATTTATCCCAAGTAATGTGATTTCAGCCCCTGCTGGAGCCAGTCTTGTAAGGTTCAAGAAGTTCCAATCTTCACGTGTTTTTTGAATTGTCCAGGGGAAAACCACTCTGATTGGTTGCCTTCCTCACTCGGTTGGTGAACAACAGCCAATCACAGCTACTGCAGAAGTCAGGTGGAGCACTCTCCCCATCTCCTCAGGAACTGAGATGTTTTTGGATAAGGGTGGGGGCTGAGGGAGCAACTGATACCATTTCCAAAAGGGGGAGTGGGGACAGAAAGACCCCAAACAAATCCGGTTTGTGACTGCTTTGTGTCACCAGAATGACACAGAGCAACTAAAGTGTACCAATGAATCTACCAACTGGGTCTTCTGCTGTGTCAAATGTGCTGTCAGTACTTAGCACATAGAGCAAATAGTTATTGATGAATTTCTTTCACTGGGAGGGGGAATGTGTGAGGAGAAAGAGCAGAAAGAACTTTCCATTTGAGGATGTAGCTCTTTGCCTCTCTGACTAGTCCCTATCTTGAGCATGTTTTTGCTTTTTCATTCTCCCTCAACGCACTCCCACACTATATCCATTCCAGACCTCTCTGCATCAGTGGGTTTGTTATTTTCCCCTTGGTTGAGTTCTCAGACATCACATACACTGGTTTGGTTTTGTTTAATTTTAATTGCATTTCTTTAAAAAATTAAAAAGTTAGGCTTATCACTCTGCTTGCACATGGGGAGTTGGTCTTGGATGAGTGAGCTGATGCTAGATGGTTTCCAAGCAACTTCAGTAAGTCACGTTGGATCGACAGTTCAGTATAAAAAAACACAACAAGCCAAACAAAACAATGAGTTGCAACTGAACACGAAACCAATTTTGATTGATTCATAAGGGTTATATGAGGTCTTTTGTGAGGTTAATACTGTTTCACTCTAATGGAGAGAGACGTTGGCTCTGGTGAGCTAGTGTGAGACGTTTGATATGTGTGTTTATGCAGACGACATAAATAACATTTGTATGATAAGTGGCCTGTCGCACCATGTCAGTGTGATGAACACTCTACGATAGCAGAAATGCCACAACTCAAGAGTTCCAGGAATACCAGCCAAGGAGCCTTATTCAAGAGCTGGAACGATTTAGATTTTACTCTTGGTTTTATTCCCATTCCATATGAACCTTGCAATGTAGCTATCAATTAATTATATCAGTTTCCTAAGGATTGGTAGTGGCGCAAAAAGCAGTATTCCTGGAAGAATGTTAATTTTGATTGTTTCTCTTCTACCTAGTAAAGGTAAGAGCAGGACCTTTGTCTGTTTAAATTATACTTTAGATTTGCTATAAACTTTTGAATCTCAGCACATGCAGTCTCAGCAAGCAACAGAGGCAAATCAGGTTGAGAATGGGACCACCTTTCTTCCCAGTAACATTCCCTCTTCCAAAATCCTCACCAGTTCATTGAATCACAAAGGTCCACGGCCGAATTCTATCTCATTGCAACTGGCATGAGAGAAGAATTTAGCCCTCAGTGCTTGAACTAAAAAATTATTGCTGGTACGCTCCAACTTCTTGACCTTTTTTCCCCAACCAGCAGCAGTGAGGAATTATGGATATGGTTTATATACGCACCACATTCAGGTTCTGGGTGGGCAAAGAGTGGATTTTAGGGGTATACAAGATTCAAGGCCAGATTCTGATGCTGGATTCACTGATGTAAATAAAGTGTAACTATAGAAGTTAATGGATTTGCACTGCTTTGACTGAGATCAGAATCCAGCTGCTCTACTTAGATAGTACAGAATTCTTAAGAACGTGCATTGTACAGAAAACTACTAACCAGTAATGTTTTAAAGGCAGAGCGTCTGATACACCACTACATTTCTCCAAAGGTGCCCCAGGCTCAGTAAATGGAATGACTGCCTCCTGTAAAAGTAAAGGGACTGTAGTTAATATGTTTTGATATATGGTAAGAGTCACAATGGAACCTGACCTTAACGATAGCTGAGAATGTGCGGTTCTTCTCTCACCCTTCCCCCCCACCACCACCACCACCCCACATTGCCCAATGCATTTTAACATACTTAGTGGAAGAATGTCATTTATCCTGCTGTTCTTTTTAACATACTCTTAAATCTCCTCTACTAATGTCCCTTTCCATCTCAGGGATTTGAAGTAATAAGCTGCTCAAGATTCACACTCATGGCTTATTGGATCCCCAGAACCCTTTCAGGATCATCTGTTAATTTTTTCACTGGTCCCATCTACAAATTGCAGTTTAGACACTACCACCTAGGAGGATTTCCGAGTAAAGCTCTATCTAATTATTCATGACAGGACAGAATGAGGAGCTGCAAGTGGAACTACTGTATTAGTTCATCTCTTGAATTACAAATAATTAGTCAAAGGAGATTAAGATGGAATACTTTTTAATCGTTTCTGTGTGGATTTTAGACTTGTAAAAGCTGAGGATTTCACCTGGTGCAGACACACCAAATTTTGCTGAACCAGAATCCAGAGAGAGTGACAGCATGCTTTCGTGGCATTTTTTAAATAATGTATTTTATGTTGGGATGGATTCATGCCACAATCCCAAATCCAATCATCCCCAAACTTTTGGAAGCCCTAAAGATCCAAATCCTATTCTCTGGACTGAGCCCACATCTTATTTTATGTGTATTTTTACAGTGCCTTTCCTTGTGGCTTGATCTTGATGTAATTCTAGCTTTGTGAGGAAGTTACAGTACCCAAGGTAAGTAGTTGGACTAGACTTCCTCCAGGAATCTGGTGGTGGGGATGAAGACGCCTGGACAGATTATAGAGATGCTGTAAAGGAAAAACCAAGAGGATTTTGTAACAGCTTGTACATGAGAGATGAGGGGAAGAAGGAAAAGAGGTTGTGAGTAGAACCAGGAAGATGGGGAGCATAGCCAGATTTTCAATAATGCTGAAGTCAAGATGGCTAGAGATGAAAGATGAAGACATCATTTTTCACTGTATTGAGTATGACTTGGTGGTGGGACAGCCAGGCCTATTGACAGAGGAATAGTTACATTGCGTCCTCTGTTCAAAACAGAATGTTTTGGCATACATAGCCAATGTGCCATCTGATCAGCTGAGCTAATACCTACCTTAGCAGACAGTGACCTTGTCTCTATGTGAGAGAATTTATTCCAGATGTAATGTCTGTAACTTCAACATTTTAATTATTTAGTTTTTCAATAGTGAATCAATCTCACTAAGGCCAGCCTGTTAAAGTTTTGTGCACACCATTTCTATTGTTCCAGTCTAATTGGACAATATACTTCTTTTTATTTCTTTATGTACTAAGCAGACTAAAACTACAATATCTGTAATGAGAGATAATGTGAAGAGTGTTGTGTGAAATATCACAGCAAGATGCTTTGACAAACTACATCTCAGAAGGTCAGCAAAATACTCCAGGCCAATTTGGAACAGTGTGACCATCACATTAGGGTAGCAGAGCACCGTCTGGCTTGATTTTCTGTGGAGTACTGATCAAGAACATAAGCAAGAGGGGAATTCC